TCCTCCCGCGGCCCCCCCTACCACTATCCTCCTACTGTAAAGTCCTCCCAAACCCTATCCTGTCTGACCTGTATTCCAAGACCCATCTCAAGTATGACCTTTTCCCTCAGGTCCTCACCAATATTCTCAGCCTAGCAACTCTGCTGGGGATGGATTTGGCACTTGTCCCTCTCTGTTTCTGGTGAGTGCACGTGCTCTATGGCAAAAAAAAAAGAAGTGCAATAAGGTGTGTGGTGGAAGTTGAAACCCTCACCTCCAATGTGACTGTATTTGGAGGTAGGGCCCAATGTGACTGTATTTGGAGGTAGGACCTTTAAAGAGGTAATTAAAGTGAGATGTAAGGGTGGTACTCCAATCTAACATGACTGGCACCCTTATAAGAGGAAAAGAAGTCAGAGATTCTTGTGTACAGTGGAAAGGCCATGTGAGAATAGGAGAAGCCTTCTGAAAGCCAAAGAGGAAGGCTCAGGAGAAACTGCACATTGAGCTTGGATGTCCATTCTCTAGAACTATGAGAAAGAACATTTCTGTAGCAAAAGCCACTAATTTTGTGGTATTTTATTATGGCAGCTCTAGTAGACTAATATAGAGTGTAAGTGCTTACCACTGCCCCTGGGCAAGGCAACTCCTGACAATGCTTCCAACACAGAGCTCTTGCCTGAGCTCTGGTCCCCAATAACAGCGATGGCAGGCAATGCTAGGTCTTGCTCCACACCAAGAGCACGCAGGGAATCGATGAGGTCAATGCAGGGACGTACCTTCTCTTCATACTGGCTACATAGGTTGTTGTCAGTCTTCTGGAGAAGAGGAAAATTAGAATTATGTCATGGCCTGCCAGTCATGCTCCATCAGTGATGGTCAACTTCAATAAGCCTAATAGTCAGGCTATCAAAATCCCCAAAAGGGAGTGAGAGAGGGACAAAAAAGAAATAATTGAAGAAATAACGCAAACATGTTTCTTAATAAAGGCCATAAACCCAAAGATCCAAGAAATTAAACAAACGCAAGTATAGGAAGCTAAAAGTAAACTGCATCAAAGAACAATAGTATCAAATTGGTCAAAACCAGTAATAAAAGCAAAAAGTTTGAAATAGCCAGAAAGTGACATATTATGGCTAGAGGAACAGAAATTAGATTGACAGCAAGTTTCTCATCAAAAACAGTGCAAGTGATGGAACCAGCAGTTAGCGTAATGGCTATGTCGCTGGACTCCCATGTAGTCAACCATGGTTCGCATCCCAGACCTGGTGGCTTAAAACTCACGCCAGGCGCGTGTGCGTGTGTGCCCAAGATCCCGAGAGGAGAATGGAGGAGAAGGGATTGCGGTGTGGCCATCCCCCCCTGGAGGGTGATTTCTCGCTTTCTGTCTCTCTGTTTGTCTGGTGAGCACACGCGCCCTATAGCAAAAACCTCTCCAAAAAAAAAAAAAAAAAACAGTGCAAGTGATTGGATAAAACCGTCATCAACCTAAAATTTTTTTTTTTTTTTTAGAGAGATTTTTGCTATAGGGTATGTGCACTCTCCAGAGAAACAGAGAGAGAGAGACAGACAGAAAGTGGGAAATCAACCACCCACCCCCAGAGTGATGGCCATGCAGCAATCCCTTCTCCTCCATTCTCTCCTAGGGATTCTGGGCATGCATGCACACACAACCAGTGTGAGTTTCAAGCTGCCAGGTTCGACCACGCTGGAGTCCAGCAACATAATTATTATGCCATCTGCTGGTCCCTATCAACCTAAAATTCTATACCCAGCAAAAATACCTCTTTTATAAAAGTAAAGTAAAGACTCTTATATTCATACAAAAGCTTAATGAATTCATCACCAGCAGACCTGAACTACAGGAAGCATTAACAAAGTCTTTTAGAATGAAGGAAATGGTACTGAATAGAAATATAAATCCATATAAAGGAATCTATACCAAATGTGGTAAATATCACACTTTTAAAAAACAATTGCTTACTTAGTTTTATTTATTACTATTATTTTCTAAATTTCCTATAGGACACATGTGCTCATCAGAGAGAGAGAGAGAGAGGGAGGAGAGAGAAAGAGAAAGAAAGAAAATGAGAACGCAAGCTGCCAGGTCTGGGACTTGAACCACAGTTGGTCTGCCATGTGGGAGTCCAGTGCCCAAACCACTCTGCCACCTGCTGGTCCCATTTTTTATTATCACTTATATATGCATATAAGATAATGGATTATCTGAACAAATATAACAAAACAATGTGCCGTGCATTTTACAATATGTAAACATAAGGTGTACAACAAAAATAATGTGAAGACTGAGAACGTATAAATGGAGATATGCTATTGTAAGGTTCTCATACTATACATGACATGATATACTATCACATGAAGGTAGACTAAGAAGTATACTACAAATACTAAGAGAGATATACTTAAGGGGGTGGTTCCATAACCTAGTGGTTAAGGGAGCTGGGTCCCACATGGTGGCTGCAGTTCAAATCCTGTTGCTGGCAGCTTGAAAAACATGCTGAGCATATTTGTGTGTGCATGTCTAAAATCCCAGCTGTATGGAAGTGAGGGGGTTGCAGTGTGACTACCCACCATTGGAGGGTGCTTTCTCTCTCCTCATCCTATCTCTCTGTCTCTTTGGTGAATGCATGTGCTCTAAGGCAATTTTTTAAAAAGTTATACTAATAAGCCAGCAAAGGGGAAAAAATGGAATTATAAAAATGCTTGATTCATCCAAAAGAAGGCAAAGAAAGAGGAAAAGAGGAGTAAAGAACAGCTGGGACAAATAGAAAATGAGTAGCAAAATAATATTCTCTAATCTGATTATATCAACAGTAATATTAAATATAAACTGTGTAAACACTCCTAGAATAGTTTAAATAACTTTGAAAAAGAATAACAAAGTTGGAAGTCTGGTATTACCTGATTTGCATAATTTCTACCCAAATTAAGATACACTAACCAAAACAAAGTGCTCTACTCATGTAAAAATAGAGAAAGATGGGACCAGCAGTTAGCATAATGGCTATGTCACTGGACTCCCATGCAGTTGACCATGGTTTGAGTCTCGGACCCAGCGGCTTAAACTCACACCGGGTGCATGTGTGTACGTGCCCAAGATCCCAAGAGGAGAATGGAGGAGAAGAGATTGGGGCATGGCCATCTCCCCTGGGGGGATGATTTCTCGCTTTCTGTCTCTCTGTCTCTCTCTGTCTTTCTGGAGAGCGCATGTGCCCTATAGCAAAAAACCTCTCCCCCCCCAAAAAAAGAGATCAATGGAACAGAATATATTGCAGAAATAAATCAACACATAACTGACTTTTGATAAAGGTACAAAAGCAATGCAATGGGGAAAGGATAGGCTTTTTAATAAGTTGTTTAGGGCAACTTGATACCCGCATGCCAAAAAAATAAAAATAAAAAAGGAACTTGCATCTGTATATTACACCATGTACAAAAATTAACTCACAATGGAAAGACCTAAATGTTGTGACTCTGGGTTAAGCAATGATTTCACAGATATGGCACCAAAGGCTTAGTCCACAAAAGAACCTGCTATAGCTTGAGACTGAACCATGATGTGGATAGGGCCTGTGCCAATTCCACCTACATGAGCCAGTCAATATCCCATCTAGATTTCCAGACAAAAATGGCACCCTAACTAGAGTCAGCCAAGCAACATGTCTGCACGTGGCTGCAAACTGGCCCAAGCAGAGCATGTGGAGAGTCGGGATCTGCTTCCTGCCACAGGAAAGGCAAGAAAGCTGGCAGCTCGGGCGGCAAGAGCAGCAGTCCTGTGTGAGAAGGCAGCCTCCACTGCACACAGCTCATGCCCACATGGGAGAGGCTTGCAGACAGCAACTCACCTTTACTTGCTTCTCTGCCACGTCCACATCTCCATTTAGTAATAGAAAGCTGGCTTCAGAAACTGAATCAGGTTTTATGACTTCTGCTTCAGAATGAACCATCTTCTTCCTTTATCAGTTAAGTGCAAAATGAAGCAGGTCAGTATTCAATGAACCAGAGGCTGAGCACATTCAAACATGGAACCAAACCTACTGCTAGAAGGTAAGAGGCACAAGAGCAGGGACTTCAACTACTTTTTCACAGTGACATCTCCAGGGTTTCAAGGGCAGGGACTTCAACTAATTGTTCACGAAGGTGCTTTTCTAAGCTCTGGGGATTTAGAGACGCCTGTCTTCTCGAAAGCCAGCCCCCACACCATTGGGACATTTGCCCCAGATGGCCTTGCTGCATGGTGAGCCATTTGCGGCTGGGAAGAGTGCTGCAGAGCATGGTTCATCCCCTTCCCCACACGCCTTGGAACTCTCAGGTGTGTTCATTGGGACTTGGAGAAACCTGTCTTGCCCTGGTCCCTGTGCCATCAGGATATCTGCCCCAGACGACCTTGCTGCACAGTGAGCTGTATGTGGCTGGAAAGGTGCTGCGGAGTGTGGCTTATCCCCTCCTCCACACAACTTGAAATTCAGGTGTGTTCACTGGGACTTGGAGAAGCCAGTCTTGCCCTGTACCCATATCATCAGGACATCTGCCCCAGGTGGTCTTGCTGCACAGTGAGCCATTTGTGGCTGGGAGGGGTACTGCAAAGCATGGCTCATCCCCTCCCCCACATGCCTTGAAACTCTCGGGTATGTTCATTAGGACTTGGAGAAGCCCGTCTTGCCCTGGTCCCTGCATCACTGAGACATCTGTCCCAGCGATGGGCCTGGAGGCAGGGACACTGAGCTGTAAAGAGACTGTGGTTCATCCGCGGCCACATGCCTCTGAATCTCAGGCTTCAGCATTTCCTGAAGCTTGAGGGCGTGCAACATGTGTTGTGCGACCCCTTCTCTCTTCCTCAATTGAAGCTCAGCAGCTCAGCCCCAAGTGCACCTGTTTTTTAGAAACTGGGAGCTCAGCTCTTACTGCCAGAAACTGGGAAAACTTTAAATTATCCAAGTCCTGAGACAACAGTGCAAGTTGCTGGGTGAGCATCAGGGAGGTAGAGCAACAGAGAGATTGCTGATCACCTCCTCCTGCATACCTTTGAACACTCAGAATTAACTTGAAGAATTTAGGAAGAAATGTGTAATTCACCTGATGACTAGAAGTCATCACAGAGGCACAAGAAGTATGAGAAACCAAGAAAATATCCCTCCTCCAAGGGAAAACATCAATTCCTCATCATCCACAGACAATACTATGGAACTTGTAGAAATGTCAAATAAACAATTCCAAATATTTACAGTGACAAAACTAAATAAGCTGCAAGAGAAAAGAGACAATGAACTCCAGAAGATGCAAAAGAAAAGAGACAATGAGTTCCAGAAGATAAGAGAGTTCTTTCATGATTTAAAATAAATAATAGACGCCATAAAAATGAATCAAACAGAATTGTTAGAGATGAAGAGCATAATACAAGAAATCAAAGCCTCCCTTGAAAGTAATAAAAGCAGATTAGATCATGCAGATCGAATCTCGAATGTAGAAGACAAAAATCTCTGACCTAGAAAAAATTATCAAAAAGACTGAAAAAATAACTAAGAAGAATGAGGACAATATGTGAGAAATGCCAGATAACATCAAGCACCCAAACCTAGGGATAATTGGTATCCCAGAAGGTGAAGAAAATAATAAGGACATTGATAATCTATTCCACGAAATTCTGGAAGAAAACTTTCCAAACTTTGAGAGGCATTCAAAAGCTCAGACCCAAGAATTATAAAGGACCCAAACATAATCAACCCAAGAAGATCTATTTTCCAAGGCACATCATAGCCAAATTGGCCCAAACCACAAAGATAAGATACGAAAATTATCAAGAGAAAAATGTAAAGCAACTTACAAAGGTCATCCCATCGGGCTAACATCAGACCTTTAGTCAGAAACAATGCAGGCAAGGAAAGAATATGAAAATATATCCAAAGTGTTAAATGAAAAACAATTTTAACCAAGATTACTATACCTGGCAAGATTATCCTTCATGTAGGAAGAAAAGATGAAAACATTCTCAGATAAACAAAACCTGAAAGAATTTACCAGTTCCAGGCTAGCTCTTCAAGAAGTGCTGAAGGGGGTGCTATACCAGGAAAACCAAAGTCAGTCAGACAGAAATAAGAGAACAGCAACAACAAAAATACCCGAAGAAAATGGCTAACTCAGAGACAGAAACAAGTCCAGAAATATTGATAATAACGTTGAATGTTAATGAATTAAATTCTCCAATCAGAAGACACAAACTGGCTAAATGGTTTAAAAAAAAAAAAAAAAAAAAACAGAAACCCTCTATCTGTTGCCTACAAGAAAGAAACGCATCTCATGGATAACCCACTTCATGGATAAAGACATACATAGACTAAAAGTGAAGGGCTGAAAAAGGTATTCCATGCGAATGAAAATCAAAAATGGGCTAGATTTGTGATACTGATCTCAGATAACATCAGCCTTAAGAAAAAAACTGCTGGAACAGACAAAGAAGGGCTAGGTCATCAAGAAGACATCACGCTTGTAAATATCTATGCGCCCAACTCAGGAGCACCCAAATACAGGAAGAAAAGACTGCTAGACCTAAAAGGAGAGATGGGTTGCAACACTATAATGGTTGGGGATCTCAACACTCCATTACCTCTTTTAGACAGAACTTCTAGACAAAGAATAAGCAAAGAGAGATAGGAACTAAACAATACTATAAATCAAATGGGCTTGACAGACAGCTATAGAACTTTCCACCCTAAAACCACAAAATATACATTTTATTCTCATCCCCACATGGAACCTTTTCAAAGATTGATCATATAATAGGGCACAAATCAAGCCTTTATAGATTCAAAGGCACAGAAACTATATCCAGCATCTCTGACCATGATGGGACACAAAGTATGCTCATTAATTCATTTACTGAAAGAGCAGTGATGGGGACCTCAAATGTCAGATGATGACAAATGTTATTTTTTCTTCTTTCTTTCTGTTTTTTTTTTTTTTTTTTTTTTTTTGGGTTTTTTTTTTGACAGAAAAGACAGAGAGACAAAGAGACAGAAAGTGAGAAATCATCCCCCAGGGGGGATGACCATGCCACAATCCCTTCTCCTTCATTCTCCTCTCAGGATCTTGGGCACACATACACCCGGCGTGAGTTTAAGCCACCAGATCTGGAACTTGAACCACGGTCAACTACATGGGAGTCCAGCAGCATAGTCCTTACGCTAACTGCTGGTTCTGACAAATGCTATTAATAAATTCCAGCCTAAGATATGCTTCCAGGCTTCCCATCCACAATGGATTTATTTATTTATTTATTTATTTATTTATTTATTTATTTATTTATTTATTTATTTATTTATTTATTTATTTATTTATTTATTTATTTATTTATTTATTTATTTATTTATTTATTTATTTATTTATTTATTTATTTATTTATTTATTTATTTATTTATTTATTTATTTATTTATTTATTTTTGGAGAGGTTTTTGCTATAGGGCGCTTGCGCTCGCCAGACAGAGATTGACAGAGAGCACAGAAAGCGAGAAATCACCCCCCAGTTGGGGTGGCCATGCCGCAATCCCTTCTCCTTCGTTCTCCTCTTGGG